TGTCCGGCTGTGCTGTCGCGCCGTTTTCTCGCTGCCGCTGCCTCTGCCTCTGCTGTTGCTGGCGTCGCAGTCTGCGCTGTAAAGTGTCGTGTTGGATTTGCGTAATTTATGCTCTATTTGCTTTTCGGCTTCATTTCACTTTTTGCTACTGCTACTTTTTGCAAAGTATTTTGAGTCTTCCAGCTCCCCTTTACTGCTGTGCGTGTGTGTTAGTGTGTGTGTGAGGTGCACACTTGTGGGCGTACATTTTACAGTTGCTTGCGCTGGTCGTGTGAGTGGCGTATCCGCCGCTATAAACCTTTTACAGGCTAACAACGACCTTGAGATCACCTGCAATGTTTGGTTTACAACAAAAACATGAATCCAGCATTTAACTGTGAGTATTTTGCTTTTTGACATTACTTCCGAATAGATCTAGCTAATCTCTAATAATCTCTGGAAGCTGAAAATTTGATCGTTTATCCCTGATTTAGGTTCTGGTTCGTTAGGTTGTGCTTTCACATTGTTAGACTCAAGTTTTTAGTTCAAACCTAGGCTTGTCATTAATTTTCATTTTTCATGTCATTAATATAAATTTGCCCGCTCTCTACTGAAAATATTGTAAGCCGTCAATATTTGCACATAGAAGCTGCGGGCTATATTTGATTTGTGTCCACAATTGTCAAGCAACAGATACGATTACACTGATGCAATGGCTATAGGCCAAACATACTTTTATCTTAGGTTTGCAGCTGTCTAATAAGTAACAGAAAACTCTAACTATACACTTATTTCATTGTCTTTTGCTTGGCAAAGATAAGAAGGCTCTGCTCGATTCCAGCGCCAAACAAAGCAAATTGAATTGAAAAAAAGGCTAAGTTTATTTTATTTTTAAATAATTTATTTGCCTGAAATTCTGCATTCAATTTGACAGCATGAAGATCAACCCTGCTGTTGCCAAATAAGTCATTATTCCTCATAAGAGGTAGTGAGATAGTTCCTTAAATATCGAATTGCGTGCTGTGTTTGTATAATATTGAATTATTTAACATTTATTGTTTCAATATAATTGTTTAATACTAATTGTGCATGCACAATATCGTCTTAACGCCCGTTGCATAGCTGGCAAATGCGCTCAGCATTGGGGCAGTTGTAGCGCAGTCCAGCTCCAAGCTCCAAGCCAAACTCCACGTACACCTCCACCTTCTGTGCCGGCTTCACCTTCACCTCCGCCGCCAGCTTCAGCTCCATTACTTGGTTCGGTTTCATTTGGTTGCTGCCGATGTTGTTGTCGGGGCGGCTTTGTTTGCTGCATTATTCTTATAACGTTGCTCAATATGAGAACTCAATAAATTTGCCTTACTTTGGCGGCTGTGTGAGCCATTTCAACAGGCGATTAGTTGCCAGGTGCCCGGAGCCATGGCTTTAGCTATTGCCTGGTTCAGCTCCTTGCTGCGGCTCTGGCTGTGGCTGTGCTTTTGACTTTGGCCTCGGCTTCTGCCGCACTCTCCTTTCTGGCTGCGGCAGTTCTTGTGCAACAGTTGAGCGCCCCGGGCCAAATTGAATGGCCGGCAGTGGCACACGTGAGCTCTGCTGTGCTGGGCTCTGCCTGTTGCCTAGGTTTGAGCCTGTGCCCCTGCCTCTGCCTCTGCCTGGAGCTGTGCTTGGGCCTGTGCCTGGACTTGGGTGGCGCTCTAATAGGTTTTACATAACACACACGTCCTAAATAAATCTAAATGCAACAGCAGCGGCAACGGCAGCGACAGAGGCAGGAAACTTCATGAAAAATCCTTTAGCAAATAAAATTTACATAGACCGCACACCAATACTTACACACAAACACACACACACGCACACATGGACGTTTTCCTGTGAATTTATTTGAAAATTTATTGAGTTTTCGTGTTAACCATGCATAATTAAGTTTTGCCAGTCGGCGAGTGATGGCGCCATGGAACAGCGGGGATCGGGTATCAGCTATCAGGTACCGGGGATCGGGTACCGGGGATAGGGCCGGGCAACGTGAACTGGAATCTCTTGGCCTGCGGCATAAGCCGAAAAGTTTTTGCGCTGCAATACCCTATGCCCACGGGACAGTAGTTGTTATGTTACATAAGTTGTTGTAAGTAAAAGATAAACAATTGTGAGCGATAATTTAATTTATTTACATTGACATGGGTTGTAAGTGACAATCGAACATTAATAAATTGCAATTGCACTTGAGTGTGTAAATCAATTGATACTGACATATTTTGTACGTTCACTGCAACAAGCTTTTAAAGCACTTTAAAGCTTTCGATGGGATTAATATAATTGCTGCTATGCTCAATTTAATTTCATTAATTAAAGCTTTCAACATAAAAGCTTTCAACAGGATTAATTATATATATTTAAAAAATAAATTTAAATGAAGAGCTTCGGAAAGCGCATGAAAGCTTTCAGCAGAATTAATTAAATTGGACTGCAAATTGGAGCCGTTCTGAAACGAGCTTTCAATGCGAGGAAACTAGGTTGCTGCTGCAGAAGTTAGTTAAAAGCGAAAGCTCCTGTGATTGGTTTAAAGCACATGAAAGCTTTTCAAAATGTTTAGTATACAGTTTTGCACTAAGGATTATCTGTTTTCTTTTTTTAAAAGTTATCATGTCTGCTGCGTTTGCAGACTTTTACAGGGTATGACTAGGGTAGAGCTTATCGTGTTTGTTGCGTGCTTTGTGGCTGCCAGTGTTGTATAATTTTCGGGGCGTTAAAGATAGGCTTTGGCTTTATTTACGATCCGAGCGCATGAGGCTCGCACAGCCCAAACCCGACACTTCGACAGTTTCTCGTAAATTTTCTTCTTCACTCGCTTCACTTTTCTTGTTTTTTTATTTTTGTAGGGTTTATTCCTTGACAGTATTGGCTTAACGCTGAAAATTTTATTTATGCGTCGCAGGCGCTGAACGTTATGGGGAAATCAAGTTATTTGACTGCTGCTCGAATTATTATTCCTGATTGCATTTATTTGCTTTATTTATCGCACGGAACTTCATCTATAATGCAAGCAAGTTGCCAGACAGCGCGACGCCCAGACTCCGACTCCGCCTCCGCCTCCGACTCCGACTCCGGCTCAAAATGCAGCTCCTACTTCGGCAGCTGCAGCTGCCTCTGCTCATCCACGTTGGCGCCCAGTGCGCCTCGCCGCCGCTCATGTCCCGGTTGCCCTCTTTGCTGCTTAAGTGAAATGCATAAAAATCAAATAATTTTCCTGTTTTTCATTTGCTTTACTTTACTGCTCCACTGCTCGTCTCCACGCCAGTCCCTCCATGGCTGTCCCTGACTGCTGACTGCTCACTTTTTTCTTCTTTTTTTTTTTTAAATATATAAATATATACTTTCAAGTCGGCTGCCGTCTTCTGTCTGCCCTCTGCACCCTGTGTCCGTTACCAACTGGCAGCCAGCATTCGAAATGTTAAAAGTAATTTCCTCGACTATAGTTGATAGCTTCTATGCCGGCAGCTGCTTGCACCCTTTTCCCTGCTCCCTGCTCTCTGCTCCCTGCTTCCTGCTCCAGCGTCATGCTACAATTCTTGGCTCCTGCTCCTGCTATGTCTCTGTCTCTGTCTCTGTGTCTGTCCCTGTACCAGGCGCCGCCTTAAACTATGCAACCCATTTTCCAAGTAGCTTACGAGCTTGTCCCAGTTGCGTCAAGGTAATGGAATGCCATAAGGTCCCATACCCATATACTCTTAATACCTATAACCCATTACCCGTGCATCTTCCCTTTCCTTTGTCAGTGCCATTGGCACGCAGCTAGTTTCAGCACAGTATAGCATTGCACTTTGTGGCATTATTCTTATGAAAAGTGCTCATCAAGGTTCATTTAACATAGTTTCAGCATCATAATCAAAGCCAAGACTATCTACTTTTCTGTGTATCGCATGCAATATATAATTTTACTATACTCTGTAGCCAAGGAGAGAAAGGGCATATAGGATTTGTACCATGCTCCTTGGCCTTAACCAAGGCTCGATTCGATGCCTGGCCAGGCCAGGTTTTGGCTCGAGGCTTGGTTTGTCACAGATTCCGCTTCACGGTAAATGAAGTGCCGGTTTGCAGTCTATGCTTAAGCTTGCCAAGCATTTTGCCTAAATAGAAATATGTCAGGACATTTTAGGTTTAAATATTTAAGCTATGCTCAGTTTTGATTATGAGAACAGAGCTCGAGCCAGTCTTGTGCTGCCACTTTAAGTTAAGGGAAAAAAGAAACGTTTCTTTTGCATAACACATTCGCCAGCCATATCGATCTGGCTTGGCCTTCATTCTGCATTCACATACCCATTGTATAAGTATCTTTGATAACAATGCGAGCCGGAATCATTTCAATGGCACAATAAAACATTATCTTGCGATTGACATTTCCATTAGGTACCATTGGCTTATTTAGTGACAGTTGTTTTGTTAGTTTTCGTTTTCGAATTCGATTTCGTTCTCGTACTCGTACTCGTTTTGGTTTTGGTTCTGGCTGTTGTCTTTTGCCTTCCTTTTCCGTCTAATGCTCTTAAGTCATTTGGCCGTCTGCCCGCCCGTACAGTCAATATTCAATTTATTGTTCCATTTCGTACGTTATGCGACAACAATGAAGGTCAGGCCGAGGAGTTGTTGACATTTAATTGAAATTCTCGTTGATTTTGTTGCCTTGTTAATGTTACACAGCACATAATTCAATTCAATGGCCCTCAAAACGCCCCACCCGCACCCACTGCCCTTTAACCATATCTTGAATGGATTTCTGAATAAAAATGCGCAAAAAGAGATTTTCAAAGGCCAGCAATAGTGTATTGAAGAAACGACTGAGTTATATAGAGTTACATAAATATATCTTGTATAAATAAATATATATATATGCATAATCGATAGAAGTGTGTATGGAAGTCAAGATGTGTAGAACTGTGTATGTATATCTAGAGTGCATCCGAGTATCTGCAAGAATTAAAGCGGACATTAGTCTTACGGTTGGATCCAAACATCAACTATGCACTTGCCAGAGTGAATTTCTGGTCTATCCCAGCTGGTCATGACATGGCCATACCAATCGTTGAAGGTTGCCTGAGCTATTGTAGTAGAACTATTTGAAATGTATGAAATTTAATAAAATGTACGCGCCACAAAATTAAGACTGGTTTTTAGTCTCCATTCGTATATGTCTAGGCCGATCTATGGATATAACTCGGCGGGAATATGGTTAAGAGTTTTTGCCGTTGGCTCTTTGCATATTTACTTACCAGAAACCACATAATCTGATCGGCTCGTTGTACACATGGAAATACAATAATTATAATAAGCATATGAATTCCATCCTAACATAAAAATGGAATTATATGTTATTCCCATGTTTCTTGTATTTGTGTCTCTTGTGTCTGCAAATACAATTGTTATTGTTGAGCATATTTGGGCGTATGAATCATACTCGACTCGACTTGCGACTTACCTTTGAGTTAACGTAGAGTTTTTGAATATTCGTAGGGGCAAAGCATTGAATCATCAGCATAACAAGCGACTAGAGTGTTCTAAAGAGATCGCAGCTGATGCCAAGGATGTTACGTAACATTCAAAATGTGCGCTACTTACATCACGGGTAGTCCTGTGAGCAAACTGTAAGCAGAAAGATTCAAAGTTTATAAGAATCCTAGAGGCATGTTCTCGTGGTACTTACCTGCAACAAATGGCTAATTACGTGTATGTGTGAGAGAGGATGTGTGCTTATAGTATATTATCTGCATGTTATTCGAAATGGAATTTTAATAGGATTTCTTTCTTTTCGCGGGTTTCATTTTGCAATTTGGAATATTCTTTTTAGTTTCTTTCTTTATAAATTGATTTTGTGTTGTGCCGAGAGCTGCGTCTCAAGCTATACTGAGGTCTGTAATATAAATCTATACGTATTTGCTCATATTTCAAGTGGCGCCTGCTTTGATGCACAAAAATTGGTTGCGTTGTCGAGAGAGAAAGCAATTTGGAGAAACGCCATAACTCTAGCTTAATTAACTTGTCTCCAAGCCAAGAATAGCCGAACCTAAGCCCGAAACGTAAGTTCAGCTAATTTACTCGAATAGTTCAATTGAAAATTAAATAACCCAAACTGATATGAAAAAAAAACAGATTCACGAGGTTGGTTCCTAAGTAGACTTCCCTTGGAGTTCGAAATTTGGATGTTTATAATGCGAATATATTCATATATCTGTTAACTGGCTGCCCACTCAAAATTTTCTCTTGGAAATTACAGCATTGGCAGCTCAGTCAAGAAGCCAAATAAGCGGAACTGACGTTAATATTTGAGTTGGGGGCCAGCTGAAGAGCTCATCAGGAGCCATTTCAGCAATTGCAACTACAGTTAGTAGCTGCTACTTACGGTAAATGTTATTAGTTCTGGGTGCCACTAATGGTGTACTTAAAGTCACAAGATTCACAGAACCTTTGCCAATCATTTGGCCCTGCGCCAAAGCCCCTTTTCTACTGCTCAAGTCCAAAGTCAAATGCTAGACGGCATTTAAAACTATGCGAAGGCTGTGGGGCGCACGCGTCGTATGCGCAATGTCAAGTGCCTCGATTTACATTCCTTTTATGTTTTGCCTTTTGTGTGGCCCTTCGGCGAATTGGGGTATGGAGCTTAGAAGGGGAATTGGGGGTGCATAATTTGTGGCATTTGGCTCGGTTTGTCATACGGCAAATCGAAATGTTATTTATATGCCGTACGTGTGCGCCGCCAAGCAGTAGCTGATGACGACAAATGCGACAACGTCGAAGACGTGCACGGCTTATCTCTGG